GGGGACGGGGGAGGGGAAGGGAAAAGGTGCTAAGGAAGAAAGGAAGGGGCACACGGGCAGGTGGCTGTTGCTGCGCAGGCGCACTTGGGCGGGCACTGGGAGGGGGCGTGGGGTCTCGCGCAGGCTCACCCGCGGGTGATGAGAGAGAAGCCAGGGTCAACGCGAAGCCTCTCCGTACCGGGTTCGCCTCCAGTTCCTTACCTTACTCCCAGGGCGGCGCCGGCAAAGACCTCAGGCCCCGCCCCCATCCTGTCGGCGAGTGGTCAGAGCCGCCTGAAGACTGAGCTTCAAAATCCCTTCCGATTGGAAGTTCGTAGTCCAATAGGAAGTGGGGAGTCCCTAGGCTGGCGCGGGCGTTGGAGCTCGGAGTTACCGAAGGCTGCGACGCTAGGGCGGGGCTTCAGATGCAGCCAATTAGTGCACAGGATATGCCGGGGACAGCAGGGGGCGGAGCTCGTTGTCTAGAGGGCTTGGAGGCTTCCAATGGTACCCGGAAGTTAGGTTTACCCGGAAGCGTGGCTGCTGGGTATCTGGGTCGCGGGACTAGCTGCGTCTCAGGTTCCCGGACTTGGTCATGGCCCCTTCCTTTCCTTCTAGCATCACTATCTGAATTTGGCTCTTTTTTAAACTTTTATATTGGCAGCCTGGCAGCAGGAATGCCTGCTTTGAGAAGTCACTTCCCTGCTTTTAAAAGGCTTGGAGTGGGCGCCTGGGTGGCTCGGTCGAGCATCTGACTTCGGCTCAGGTTATGATCTCAGGGGTTTGTGAGTTCAAGCCCTACATTGGGCTCTCTGCTGTCAGTGCAGAGGCTGCTTAGGATCATCTGTCTCCTTCTGTCTCTCCTCCGCTTGTGCACTTGCTCTCTCAAAAGTAAACACTTAAAAAAAAAATGCTCAGAGCATGCAGCTTGGACCCCCACGTGCCACTGGGTGAGGACTTGGACGAGTCAGAGCCTGTCAACCAGAAGAGGCTTCCTAGTCCTCTGGTTGCTGCGCCTCTTCAGTATCTCCAAAGCCCTCGTGCTCACCATTTGGGGTTATACATTTCCCAGTCCTCCACCACCGCCTCCTTAAAAGCCTTGGGGGATTATCACACTCTGTTCTAAGCCTGCCAAATTGTGTGTGATACTGCCCGGAGCAACTTACTTCATAAGCCTTTTCAGTGCATAGCTCAACCCTGGCATTCACTTACTCATTCAATATTTGCTGAGCGTCTAAACGCTAGACTATCAGCGGGGGGGGGGGG